CAACCACAACCACAACCACCACAGCCACCACAACCACCACCACCGCCACCGCCGCCGCCACCACCGCCCAGCAGCAGCAGCAGCAGCAGCAGCAGCAGCAGCAGCACCAGCACCACCAGCATGTTGTTCATAGTGGCACCCACTGCAAAGGAAGTAGGGAGGCTGGCCGCAACCATCTGACACGATGTTGTTCGGACCAAGCCCCTGCATGGGTCACTACAGACGGAGTAGGGAAGTTTGAGGCTACCACTGCAGACACCCCGCATAATTTACGGGTATCATAGCGGTGCAAGGGCAGTGAACGCTTCTGAAGGAATATGGTGTTTGAATTGAACCTACTCCAACCATGACGGCGCCAAAGTAGGGCACGCAATAAAGGAAGCAGGAAAGTTTAGTCAAATGCTTTCACCAGGCATGATGCGTTTCGTACCGTGGCCATGCAAGGGACATGAACACTACAAAGGGATGTTTGCTCTTGATGCAACAAAAAAAGCACGTTGTTATTCCAAAGGTAATGGGCGGAGCAAGCGCAAGTAAGCGCACCAAGCAGCGAGCGAATATGTGAGCACATGAGTAGATCGCCTCCCATGGGACACATTCATGTGTCAGTTTCGCCCATCCGTCTCCCTCTCGGCAGAGTTTCCTGCAAAAAAAACTTTTAACTGCCACCTTCAAAAGCTCGGATTCTTGTGAAAGAGTCAACATCGACCCGCCTTGTCTGCCTCCCTTACTGCTGAAGCAAGAGACCAGTCCAAGCTTGGCACGCTAGCTTTCGTGACTTGCACTGGCAACTGGTCTGACAGGTTACCGTTAACATTCCGAAGTTGAAGTTTACATACGTTTTCACCTTTGGGTCGCCTGAAGCGATGCAGACAGCTAGGAGCTTCTGGAGTTTTCCGCATGTCTGAAATTGTGCTGTCACGGGAGCAACTGTCCCCGAAGAAGCACCAAGGCTAGCAATCAGATAAGCTTCGAAGGAGTTCCTCTCCATCGCGCCATCTTCCTAGCATGGCACTGTCCACAGACCGCTTTCACCAGCACTCTCAGCCCTGAGAAGCATTCGCATAAATGCCTTCATCAGCAATGCCACTTCATCCTCTGCATTCAGCGGCTTCGATTCGTCATCCGCCTCTTCCTTGCACGCCGTAAGGGCTTCATATGATTTTGGAGATCTAGATCTGACAGCCCCGCTGGAACATCAACAAAGAAGGCACAAACCTGACACTTACGAAGCCGCCTCGTGCACCATCTTGTCTGGTGGTATGTACCCCAAAGCCTGGGACAAGCGAATGCGAACCAAGGTTGGAAAATGAAGCCCCCGGATGAGCCTTTTCTGGCTTCCACTGGATGCAGCTCTGAAGTGAAACCATGTGAAACCTTCAGTTTTACTCAGCCACTGCGCAGGAGCATGAAGAACTCTTCAAAATCCAGCTCCCCGTCCCCAGGCCACTCGAAATTTGTGGAGCAGCTTGCCAGCATGATTCTCCATCACGTGTTTCCATCTCCTCAGAGGTAACGGTACCATCACCGTCTACGTCAAAGCCACGGAAGGCTGCAAGTGCTGAATCCTTGCGATCCTCAATGTTATGACCCATGATGGCAGCAAGGAATTCAGTCTATGCCATTGTGCCTTTACACTCTACGTCTAAAGACGCGAGCAGCATCTGCAACCCACTGGTGACCAGAGGTTGGCGATGCCGGGGCGAACGTCAAGTATATTGCCAAATCACTTAAAAGAACCTCTCCCTTGATATGCACATCTACTTTGTGGAAAATTCGTCTTAGCTCCTCATGCTCATAGGAGCCAAGGTTGCGAGCAGCAGCCAGCAAGGCTGCCCTCTTGAATCTCGACAACTGCATAAAAGCACGTGCTCTGGACGCAATTGCTGGTGTAGAGTGATGAGTTGGGCTAGAGCAAGAGGCATCCTCGCTTCGAAGCCAGTCATGATGTAAAAGGGCCTGCTGCGAAAGTCTACCTTCAGGCATTGCTTGACAAAGTCTGCTGGCAGCTGCCCGCATCTAAAATCCAATGCTGGCAGAGACTGATCCTCCGCCAAAAGCGCGCTCACGTCCTCGATGCTGTAAGGGTGCTCCCCATTGTGCAGAAGGGCATCGATGCATACGCGCAGTGGCCATATGTCGCAACAAAAACCATCAAAGTCCGGAAACTTGCCACTCGGTTTAGTTGCACCTGCCTCCTGCCCTTGCTGCTGCATTATCTGGCGGTTCAGCATGCGAACAACTTCAGGTGCCAGGTACTGCGGCGTGCCGGCCAAGGAGTGAATTCCGACTATGGATGCATTCGCCAATCGTGGGTCGCGTGCCTGAAGCTTACAGAGTGCCTCTGACAAACTCCCCGCTGCCTCTTCAGATCGCTATCCACGCCACCGCCAAGTGCTGCAGCCCGCGCCTTTTTCCACTAAAGCCGCTGCGATGAAATGCTGCAGTTACATGGCTTGGACACCCCAAAGTCCGCCACGCGAATCGGTGAGTCCAGCGAGCGGCGCAGGAACAGGATGTTCTCAAGTTTCCCGCTCCGAAGAACTTTTTTTCATTACAAACAGATCGCAGCTGACAGTCGCTGTGCCAGCTCTATGCAGGTATGACAATGGATGGTAACTACACATAAGTATGTTTGAGATGCGAATAAAGCGCAAGTCTCTGTGGCAGACACCTCTTGAGTCCCAATGTACCAATCCGAACTTGCCCTTGGATCTCGTCCATCCATTCCATCAAGCTACCTCCCACGCATGCTTCCATCAAAATGTATCATAATGTAAAAGTTGCGGGCGTCTTCGCATGCTTCCAGAAATCGCAGGATGTTGAGATGATCCAGATTTGCAAGGACATTTATCTCCGAGCACAGCTTCCCAACGTCGGCATTTGAGGATTTTGGCATCTGCTTGATTGCGACAATTTTTGTGCTGTTGTAGCAACTTGTTCCCCAAAATATGCGACCGAAGGCGCCCCGGCCCAACTCGTCTCTCTCTGACCACACGAAGTGATCATGCTCTTGCCCCTCTTGCAAGCCTCGCTTTAGGCGTTGCCAATGCATTGCTTCCTTCTCAATAGCTGCTCAGTTGGAAGTGCAGATGTCTGTTGGGGCTACGCCTGTCGTTCCACAGGAGATGGCTGTGACAAAGCAGGAATGATAAGAATCCGAGGTGGCGGATCTCCCACTTCACCCCCAGGCTGTTAATCTAAACACACATGTCCGCGTAGGCGCTGGTGTAAGGTTTGCTGATCTATGGCTCACCTCAATTTTGCACAAGGCCTACCGCACTTCTGGTCAGATGGCTAGCAGCCTAGGCTGGATCTTCTCGCAGCACTTGAGAACCTGTGTCTGATGATGCCATATCTGTCATGGCAGCAGGTCTCAACTTTCGACGGCAAAAGGGTCGCACTGAAGGCTGTGCAGGAGGGACCCGCCATGGCGCGCGCTCGCCCATTTCAATACTCATGGGCAAATCTGCAAGCAGTCCGAGAAAAACAAATCTGCAAGAAAAACTTTAAGGCTTCAATTAATGTCCTGAGAAAGGAAGAGATCGTTCCTGTCGCAAGTCATGATGGCCTGTAAAGGCTGAGAAAAAAGCGTCACAAGTCAGGATTTCCCCGTGGCAGGGGAAAGTGCAGGGGACCTCTCAGCGCCGGGCCATCTTGTCTGTACACTGGAGTCGCACCCCACATCCGGGACAGCACCCAGCTTCCAGCTGGAGGACAAAGCCTCACATTGCAAATGGCCTGGGGTCCGCAGCCTAACCGTCGCTAGAGTGAGGATTCCTCGTGATGACTTTGTCCCACCTTCCTGTCTGTCCTTGAGCCTTTGGGCTCGCAGCTGCCCAAAGCTTCGAAGCCTGACCACAAACTGAGGAAGAAGCAGAATGTCTCAAGCAGATAATAATGCCACCAAGTAGTGCCGGTATGCATGACGTGAAGGGCGGACTTTTCAGCGATATGCCGCATTGTCAGACTTCGTGGTCCTTCCGCTGGGTGCGCTGCGGCGGCAGCAGAATTAAGCAGAGAAGAGCGGCTGCCAAAACATCCGCAATCAGTCAGAGCCCAGATTCAATATTGCCCCCTCACCATGTAGGTCGAATAGCTTCTGCAAGTGCGTGGGTGAGAAACTCGTATCCTCATCCTGGAATTGGACAACAACAAAATTTCGATTCTGTGAGTTGAAAACTTTTCCAAAGCCCTACAGTACGCGATTTCTTAAAAACAAAAAAAACATAAAATGCGATCCCTTCCAGGAAACCGCTTCGTGCTGAGCATGCCCAACCATTGAAGCATCTGTCTGATTGTGAACGATCCTTATCCCACCTGTGCTGTACTGGCTGGGACACTCTGCAAGCATTCCTTGTAAACCATTACTTGACAAACAGCACCCGGTCAAGTCCAAACGTAAGTCACAGAAGGGAGGTCGGTTCAGACTGCCCACTGCTGCAGCAAGGCTTGTGCTGGCACAGGTGACTCTACTGTTGCTGCAGTTTAGGCTCAGCTGACGCAACTTCCTCGCTCCTAGCAGCAGTTCCTCCAAGTCTTTGTCACAAAGCTTTGTGTCGCCTAGGTCCAACATAAGCGTGGACATGTGTTCCTTCCAGCTGGTCAAACCACAGCTGCACACATCTGTGACTTCGCAACCTGCAACGCCCAGAGCTAGGTGCACAAGTGATGTTGGCAGTCTTTCCACCAAGGTCCTGATACCACCATCGGATATGCGGCAGCCAGACAAATCCAGTCCCAAGCTTTGCAAGCCGGTCAAGCCGTCAGCGAGAGACGCAATGCCGGTGATGCCGGCGTCAGTCACGCTTGTAGAGATCAGTGTCAACTCAAGTTGCTCCAACAGAGTCGGGAAACAACAGCCCAAGGAGCATGCCAATTTGTCACCAACACTGCTTCCTGAGAAATTGAGCGTGAGCCGCTTAAAGTTTGGACTGAAGGCACTTGGAATTGCAAAGTCTCCAATTGGACAGCCGAAAGTGCTTAATTGCAACTGTCGAAGGTTTGAAAGTCCCGCGCACTTTGCTAGAAGAACCATTGCTGCCTGCTCAGTCATTGGGCAGCCACCTAAGTCCAACAAAAGACTGCACAAAGAGGAGGGCAAGTTCTGTGCCATGCGTCGAACCCCTTCATCGCGAAGACCACAGCCACTGAAATCCAAGTTCAGTGTATCCAGATTCAAGCGGGCAATGCCAGCTGAGAGTAAAACCGCTCCTCCCTGATGCAAACGCGGACAGCTGCGAAACGCCATTGACAGGCTTGACAAAGTTGGTGGAAGTGAACGAACAAGGATCGAGCATCCTTCGGCTTGCAAACTGCAGTGTCCAAGATTCAAATTAAGATCTAGCAGGCTTGGCCGTAAACAGGTAGCAAGAGCAGCTACCCCGCGTTCGGTCAAGCCGGTCCCAGCCAAATCCAAAGAGAGCTTTGTAGCCAAGGCCGGTAGATGCTCCAGAAGCTGCGTGACGCCTCTTGGTCCGATTCTCCTCTGTCTGGCTCCATCCTGCTGCAGCTTCAATCCTGAGCTCGGAGTCTTTTTTGTCACGTTTAGAGTCATCTAGCTATGACTCCCCAATCAGGGTTCAGCAAACGGTCAGGCCAAGTTCCGCATGTGAACAATGGACCCCAAACATCTGGCCGGCCCCATCGTGCTCGCCAAGTTCTGGCCGTCAGAGTTTATGACTGCAAAGCTGCAAATGGCAACCTAGACGTTAAGATTTGCCCACGGTGTCTGCAAGCATTGTTCGGCAAAGTTCTTGCACGCGCAGCCCGAATCAGCATGTCAACTGCTCCAAACCTTCCCACATGGCAAAAAGTCCTTGATACGCATTTCCATTGAAGTAGAGTCAAAGCAACAAAGGGAGCGATACCTCATGAAGTCAGACTTCAAGATAGGACCGCATATCGTGCTACCACAACATCACGGCAGCTTTTTTATCTGAGCTCACAGCAGGCATCCAAGCCATCAATTGTATCCATGGTTGCTGCGGCGAGTGGCATTCTAGTCTTGGGTTGCATCCATGACAGAAATTGATTGGCTGCACTGCTTCCTACTGAAGCCTTGGAAGCACTGAGATCACTTCTGGGAGACCACAAGACTCTGAAGGCTAACCACAACATTCTGGCTCAACACAGCTTGCACAGCCTCAGCAAGCATTTAAACTTTAAATCCAAGGCAGGCTGCAAGGCTGTTGGCTGAAAGTGAAGACTCAGATGTTGACGGGCTATACGGGCTGGACCGGCATCAGGCATCAGGCTACAAGCTCAATAAGCCACGTACTCTAGGGGATTGGATGTCCTCCACCGACTAATTAGAAGTAGCACACCCCTAAGGAAGGTTGGGGCAAGTGTTGACGACTTGCCTCCCTTGATCCAGCGGGACATCCTCATCAAACATTGAATCATAACCTCGGTGCCAAACTTGGCTGCACGTGGGGGTGGGCTGCGCATTACCAACTCCTGCCGCCTCAGCAATGAGGACTCGACCCATATAATGTACCCGAGCTATGCCTCCTCCAACTTTGATGACCTGTGCACGCACCGTTTATCAAGCAGCATCGTCGTAAGCAGGCTGGAGAGAAACTCTTGGCCTGAGCCTCGCCTTGGTAGTCCATGGGCTCTTCCGTGTGACAGAAGCTTGAACAACGAAGACGGGAAGCGCACAGGCATTAAACAGAGTTGGACTGAGTCCCACACGCCACCGTTTGGAGGGCGCGAGAACTTCCACTCGCTTGCCCTTCTTGCAGAAGTCTTCCGGCTGCGCGAAAAGGCAATGTGTGCATGGTTACGCATTGCTGCCCTGACATTTGCCACAAGTTTTTGGTGCCGCCACAACATCTTTAATCCGCCCACCTTGTCATCAGGCTGTGATTGGTCCTGGCGGCAAAGCAGCAAGTCCATCATGTGCGGCTTACATGGGGCCAGGCACGTCTGAAATTTTGTCAACTTGCGGTGACACGTAGTCAGGGAGCAATTCGATACTCTGGCCTCCAAATCTCAAATTTCCAACGGGGAGGGGGAGAGGGCAGTAGAGAGGTCAGAGGCAGAGGTTGATAAAGAGAAGGCGAAGCAAGAGAGGCAAAGGGAAGCGGTGGGAAGGGAGGTTGCGCCCGGCAGCCCTACAATGCCAAGTCTTGCACAGTTCAACCCATAGCACTGTGCCCGTGTGCCCGTGCTCTCCTGATAGGTACACTCTGGTTGCTGTCAACAGTTGGCAGCCACGCTGCCATAAACAAATGTGAGTCAAACCAGGACGCAACAACAGATTCCTTGTGTGCAACAAATATGCATTTAGCCAAAGAAGGCCGCAAAACTTGAGGCCCAAGCACTGACAGTCAACTCGGATTGGCTGCATTGCGCCAACACCAATTTGAAACTTAGCGAGGTGCGGGACAAGCTGCAGCCTTCTGCGGAATGCAGGCTGGAATGGCTCCGTGGTACTGTTCTCCCAAAATATTCCTCCAAAAAAGTCCGCCTTTGTTGGCCTCAAGAATCTCAACATGATAGAGTGACGGATGGTGTAGTATGGCCATACATAATGTGACCTCATACATCAAGCCCTGCGTACATTACCCCAAGTACCCCGGAACCTGAGGTTGGGGCTGGTTCGAGTTAGCATTTGGGTTCTGGCTTGAGTGGCGGGGCGGGGTTGTGTGCTGGGGGTTGCAGGAGGGGGCGGGTTCGAAAGCATAATTTTCTTTGTCCGGGTTCGCGTAGGGAAGAACGTTTTTAGAATGAAGGGTTTGAGTTTGGGGGGGAGGTTGGGTTTGGGCTTGGCCCCAACCCTCTGCTGTTTGGTGAGAGAGAGTGCCTTCATTGCAACATGACACGGTATGACCTGTACGAAATGCTGAGGAACCACCCGCTCTTTTAAGAGACACCTTGTGACCGTTAGTGTTCCAAGTCTTGCCATGTTCCTGTACAGATATATGGTCTCGGCAATTTCTGAAGAATGGCGTCACATTCGACATGACCTCGTATGGTCCCGAGTGAATGCTGAATTGAATACGGCTGCATTCTTCAGTCCCTCAAGTGTAAAGGTAATATACTTGGCTACTATTAAAAAGCATGTGCCCCGAGTGCACGTTCCTATGCTGTCTG